AAAAAAAAAAAAAAAAAAAAAAAAAAAAAAAAAAAAAAAAAAAAAAAAAAAGAGGCAAAAAATAAATAAATAAAAAGGCAGAAAAAAGAACAAAATTTTTTAGCTACTGTTTGCAAGATTGAATCATCCCCTTAGAAAAATTCAATTTCAGCGGTCCACCTTCACTTGTGTGATCTTCCAGATGTGCCAACATGCAAATAAAGAATTGGATAATTACGTTAAAAAAAATATATATATTTAAAAATGTTAAGGTGTGACTATCAAATGTCAGGAGTCAGATTGTTGGGGGAAAAAAATAAAAAATAAAAATAAAAGAACTTCTTTGCGTTGTTAACTTTTAATAAACTCCTATCTTTACTTGAACACACCGAGGATTTGTGCTCACAAGTGGATCGATCACCTATTGGTCCATGCTCGCATCTCTTACCACACTATAGCACTAACTTCCAATGAGTTATTAAAACATTTGAATATTGCTATACAAGAAGCAGTTGCTTCTTATCCTAGTGATATATTCTGTACTACGATACCTGAAAACCTTTATTGTGATGAAGCAATGCAAGTTATATTTTTCATTAATTATATCATCATTTGCATCTCTCACTGACAAACTATGTAAGAAGCATCCCCGAACTCATATCCAAAATTCGGATCCTTTTTAACCGTTTTCCTGTATCCTATATTTTTAAAAGGAGGATACGACTCCTAGATATATACTTAAGTCTGAGGAACATAGGTGAGATATGATGTGAGGAACTTTGATGATGCAATGAGATTTTCTAAATAACAAAAATAAATGGAACTTTGATTGTTGATGAGGTGAAAAAAATGATATTCACTAGTCGTTTTGATGTTTCCCATAGCTTTGGTGTATGGGGCACTAGAAGACTGCCAGACAATCAAATAATCATCTTCTTAGACTAGTGATTGATAACCAGATGAAAATGTGTATAATCAAATAATTAATGCCTTGCAGTAATAAAAGCATTGAATACGTTTGCTACAGCTGAGTGCTTACCAGAGACTTGATGCGAAGAAGGCACTTATTGGAATCACACAGGTTGCATATCTGCCATTGATAAAGGACGACCAAAACATCACTATGAAAGGAAGCTTTAATAACTAGAATTATAGACTAGCTCTCTTACATGTTGAATGTCATTTTAACTGGAGATACAACCTGCACACAGTTTTCGCAAACATTAGATAAAGTAAATCATACTAAATCTCAATCTACACTTTTAGAGAATGTTTGCATTATCTGAAATGTACTTAACATAGAAGGTTCACTACATTTCATAGGCATTCGCCTTTGACACAACATAGCTTCATTTGCATTGATTAAATCTAGCATGACTGCCTAATTATTTTTCAGCTTGATACAGTATATATTTTCATATCATCACTAGAAGCTGTAAATTATAAGAAATGTGATCCTTAACAATCTAACTTCTTTTTTCTTGCTTCCTTTCACAAGAAATCTAACCCTATCCACAACAAAAATGTTGTGACGTGTATGATTGAAATCAATGAACAGTAAGTCTAAATAGGTTTAAATACATAAAAGCAGTTTTTTTTTTTTTTTTTTGCCCCATTCTGCCATATGTTTAAATGTGTTGAAGCCTTTGCAGATAATAGGTATTGCCAACATTTACACCTCCATTTTATAGAGATTACAGGGACACATGCGAGCGCAACATGACACTGGTTTAAACTAAGGATGATGAAAAGGAAAACATTGTAAGAAGCTATGCAATGTACCAAAACTTGAGACAAGCATAAAGAAGCCACTAGAATGTTTGGGTGCAACTTATAAGGAGAGAGAGAAAAAATATCCTCTCATACTTTTACCTCATAATATAAACTCACTTATAAGTTGCACCCGAACATGCTAAATCTTGCTTATCTTCATATTAAACCTGGTTAATATGTGAAGTCTTACGTATATAACAAATGAGAGGGAGCCATACCTTGAAGACACGGATAAGAAAGAATGCTACTGCACCAGAAAACCCCATATGTATCATCGTAAGTGTTATAGGAAATGGAAAGTTGAAGTATTTTGGAGAAAGAACCCACTGCAAACAATTTGTCATGTTTATTATGTATTAGTTCCAACGCTAGAAAGCATTAATGACATCAGGAATGAAATCATGCCTTATAAGTATCTAAACAACTATATAACTGAGAAATGTTTCGATGAATTAATGCATCCCCAGGGGTTGCATGGGTGCAAAGCGTCACTTGGCACCAAGGCAAGTTCTGCTTCGAGGTCTCAGTTGACATGAAAATTAAACCACCGACTCATGATGATGCCTTCTTGATTAAGAATGACTTGTATACATTGAAAGTGATCAAATGCATGGTCAAAATAATATGGCAGTATATCAATCTACTTAGAGTTTAAAAGTTCAATTACAGTTTTTGATAATATTTATATTGTGTGCACTCAACTTGTAGGACAAAAATAGCTTAAATCTACAAAAGAAGATAAACGTGCATTACCTTATTGTATAGAATAACTCCGGATGAGAGCGTGATGTAGATTAGAAGGTAAAGATACGTTAACAGTAATGATTTGCTGATCATGTTTCCTGATTTTTTCACCGCACAAGTGACCAAGTACTATGTCCCTGCCAAGCTTTCCACTTAGAAATAAGACAATTTCTGATATGCTTACTCAGAAAAGTGGAAATCTACGTCGAGATCCAAAAAAAGCTCAACAATCATAGTACTCTTCATAAATATGAATGATTTGACAAGTTCTGGAGCCCGAATTTACAAAATCTTGTATCAACCCTAAAAAATTATCAAATAAACTTATATTAGCACAACTGCATTCATTTGTGGGTAAAATGAAAGTGAAATATCAGAACCACCAGCAAACATCTGCAATGTAATATATAATATGAGAAAATAAGTGTGCTGAGAAGATCATATTGTACAAAGTCATAGAAAATGACTTTAGAGTGCTCACTTATACATCAAGAAAACAGTACTACATAAGATTCTGAAGAAGCACAGATACAGCCGTCCAAGATAGTTTCAAGGGCAAATCAAATACTCGTCGATTCAATGTAGTAAATCAAGTAAGATATAAATGCTACTAAAAACAACTAGTGTTCATCAATCTTAACACCAAATGGGAATAAGGATTGTAAATCCATGATTTCCCCTCGATAACAGGTGTAGTAGTTGAATTTCACAGCACATTGCGAAAATCAAGGGCGAAAACAGAGGAAAATTATATAATATAATTCACAACTTGAAAAAATACAAGAAGAATTTGGAAACACAAGGAGCTATACCTCTGATATGAATTGGCCAACGCCTTAAAATTCGATATGATGCACAAAATTTACTCGGAAAAGTGAGAGGGAAAGGGTGAAAAGAGGAGCGAGAGGGTTAGATTTGATGTGCCATTATTCACCAATTACTTGGTTATATTTATTAGCAAAAGCAGTAATTAATATGTTTGGTACTGATTGGACCCATTGGCTGGCTCAGGCGTGTGAATCTAGGCCTGTCACCAGTTGGGTCTTTGATTTTGATCCGACCCGATCGAATAGGATACCGTGGATGATTTTGAGTAGG